AGGTAGGCTTTACTCCTACATAAAAACTTTGGATCCAATTAATATTTTTAAGTAGGTTTTATCAATTAATATTTTTAGGTAGGTTATAGGTTTTAACAAAGGTTTGATACACTTGTTTGTTTCCTTTACACTTGTTCCCTTTGCGGATTTAAGTGTTAAAAACACCGGTACTAATTATTGATTAATATTTATATTACGCTCACAACAAATGTTTGATGCTTTTTAAATGAGGATGGATTTAATTGTTGATTAATATATATATTACATTATTAGCCCAAAGTTAACACTTGTACACGTTTCAAAAAAATTAAAAAAACAAAAGAAAGGTCAAAAAGATTGTATCTCATTGCCATATAGAGAGCCATCTTGTAAGAAAAGTCATCGTTGCATTTCATTATCAACCTAGAAAAAACCACACATCATTTTGATATAGAAATAAAATAAAATCATATAGTCGGTCACTCTAGATATGTTGAATTTTCATATTATTAAAACTAATTTTCAAGTGGTGAAGTAAAGATATTTATAAAAACAGAAAGATATGAAAGTTGAAAAGATCAATTAGAAAAAAAGAAAGATGATATAGAACATTTGCTTATAACGAATATGGAAAAGAATACCAAGTATACTTACCATTAATCTCCTCCAATGTTTTAAATTAAAGTTAAAATTAATAGCAAACTCTCAATCATTTATATCTCTTCCAATTTTCTAATTTAAAAGGAAAAAATATTACAATTAAATCTCATCTTGAATTCTACAGTTTTTTTCAAGATAATCTTGAATTCTAAAGTTTAAAAATTGAAATTGAAATTGTATTTGGATTAAAGCATAAGGGCATCTATGAAAGCCTATTCAGATTGGAAGCATGGGCCTAATAAAACATCAATAAAGTATATAATAGAACAGCCATCTTCAACCAAATAAAATACCAAATTGATGTTATTTTTTAATATTTATTTCAAAATATACAAATTTTATGACCATACTTTTAAAAACTCAAATTATTTAAAATTATAGGTGATATTAAACATAGTTATATGGAAAAGATTGTGGTAGCCCATGGGCCGGTAGAATAGTGCAAGTCCAATATCCCATATCGAATCTGGACCGATCTGATAGTCACAACTGCATTGCATATTTAAATTTTATTTTTTTATAAAAATCCAAATTATATAAAATTTGAGATATCCGCTCTTCTCATCAAGACGTGCCTAATAAAATTATTAAAAATTATTCGTAAATATTAAATTGATCAAAATACTCTTTCAAGGGTATTTTGGTTGTTTAATTTTTGTAAATTATTTTTAAATATTTTTATTAGATTCTCCTTTTTTTCAAAATATATATGCCCAAAATTTCAAGTGGTTTGAATTTGTATAAAAAAATAAAATTTCAAATATGAAATGCAATCATGACCATTGGATCGGCCCAGATTTAATCTAGGCCATTGGGCATTTACTGTAGCAGGCTTATCTTAGATTCTCCCACACTTAGGTATATTAAAATTTATAATTAAAAATAAAAAATTAATAAACCAATTTGCTCTGAGGATGTCTTTAGTAGTTATAATATATTATCAATAAAATAATAACAAAATAATTATAATTTTTTTTACTAATATCATAAGAGAAATGACACTATGAGACCCTCCCACACCTACATGAATAGGAACCCAAAGGATCACCATTAAATTTTGATACAGATCTCCAGAATAGTTATGACATGGGTGTGGGACTTAGGTAAATGGGTTTTCTAGA